CATGATAATAATGGACTAAACCTCTGAAACTGTAAGCCAGCCCCAATTAGATGGTTTCCTTTATAAGAATTGCCGTGGTCATGGTGTCTCTTCATGGCAATAGAAACCCTACAATACTCTGCAACCTGACATACAGCAGTGTCTTCTTCACAGGCTAGTGCCTTTCACTATTCCTTTTGTATTTGGTCAGTTTGTTTACTTGGTTGGTTGGTTGGTTGGGGGGGGGGAGTTTTTTGTGTGTTTTTGTTTAGTTTTGTTTTTTTTGTTTATTGAAAAAATTATAATGACCATTTGAATTCAAAATTCTGTTTCCTGCTGTCCCAGGAAAATCTTAAAAAGGAAAGCCACAGGAACATGGGTGTGCTGTGGACACTTAGTGAAACACAAAAGGAAACTTTTGCTAAAGGGACCGTCCAAGAAACAAGTTCAACCATCTGTCACAAAGACATAGCTGCAGGTCTTCACCTGAGCCTCTAAACCACGCCCCAGATCCTGAGTCTCAAACTGCGAAGTCAGGGATCAATGACCAAAACTACTTGCTTTTCTAGTGGCACCAGGGCGCTTGCTCCATCCCACAGCGTGTGTATCTGAACGGGTGTCTACCACAGATGCTAATGGCTCCTAAATGTATAAGGCACAGACCAAGAGATAAATGCTTCCCTCCTATACCTATATGAATAATTTCACACAAGCATATCATGATAAAGGGTTTGTTCTCACTGCTATGAATTATGAACTACGATTTTACTTGTTTGTGGCTCTCTGTGGTCTGAGAGCTTTACCTCTCTCCTACTTTATACACACAGAAAAATTCTCCTACGTAAAAATTATTGCTCCCATTTTACACTCAAGAAAATAATACTGAGAAAAAAATGTGCTTGCTCAGCAGTGGTCCAGACATCTCACCTGTCACTCTAGGCCCCCAAGAAAGGATGCTGTACTTTCAAGTGTCTGCATTAGGAAACCTGAACAGGCATGGTGTCGTTCATGACTTTAATTTTAGCACTCAACAGACAAAGACACATCTCTGTGATTTAGAGGCCAGCCTGATATACGTAAAATTTCAGGACAGCCAGGACTGGACAGATGCCTCAGTGGTTAAGAGTGCTTCCTGTCTAGCTTCCAAAGGACCCGAGATAAGTTCCCAACACCTACATCAGGCAGCTCACAACTGCCTGTAACACTTGTTTCAAGGAACCCAATGCCCTCTCTGTCTGCCATAAGCACTTCATTCACAGGTACAGACCCACACATAATTTAAAATAAAATTTAAAAAAAGAACACTTAGAAGAAGAAAGTGAAGAAAATGGAAGCAAGCAAGACTACCCACACTCATCAACTGGAAGATTTGATACTCTGGATATGGCCCCTGCCAAAGTCTTCTGTATATTAAATACAATTTCCACCAAAACCCACTACCAAATTCACAAAACTATAAGAAACCTAAAATTCATATAGAAGCACAAAAGACCTCAGATAGACAAAGCAATCCTGAGAAGAAGGATAAGGCTGGGAGGGCCACCATATCTGGTTTCAAATTATATTACAGAGCCATAGTAACAAAAACAGCATAGAAATGGCACCAAAAAAAAACCAGCCAAGTGTACCAATGGAATAGAATAGAAGATCATGATATAAACCCACACACATACAACACCTAATACATACACACCTAATACCCACACAAATACAACACCTTGTACAAAGATGCCAAGAGCACTTTGTTGGCAAAAAGACAGCCTCTATTGAATGATGCTGAGGAAACTGAGCATCCCAACAGTAGACAGATATACTTGACCCTATCTTTCCCCATACACATCGTAGCGTCCTAAATTTCCCTTGTCAAGTTGCTTCCTAAATACATTTACACTCATACATCAGCTCTCTGCTTTGACCTGCGAAGCTGCTGGCCCGGTTACCATACTGCTTATCTTTGTAGTATTTTGGAAGTAGCACTCCCTTAGTTCAATTCTACTTTGTGTGATTTAATGTCTCCTAAGCAAATCTATTAGTAAATCCTGTATAGCACCAATTCTATTACTGTGAGTTTTTCCAGCAGTAAATCCTAGTGGGTAGCCTACTGCTGTGGTTTTGCTAAATGAACAAGTTGTCAAGTTGCTTCCTAAATACATTTACACTCATACATCAGCTCTCTGCTCTGACCTGCGAAGCTGCTGTTTTCAGGTACTCCAGAGACCCATTGCGGGTCCAAATGCTGGAGATAAGTGACTGCAGAATGCTTGGTCTTAAGTCAGACCCTCTGCAAGGCTCAAAGAACATTGCAGAAGAAGTGATAGGAAGGTAAGAGACAGAAGGTGCTGCAGATTGCTGTACAAAGCTGTCTTCTGGGCAATGCCATTGCACTAATGAACTCAAGGCAGCTATGATCACCCAGACAAGAACACACAAGATGATCTGTCAGCAGTCCGTCATGGAGCAGAGGTCCCGAGGGCCTGTCTGTCTCTATGTTGTTAATAATTGGTGGAGACAGAGATGTTTTCTTCAGTGGTGTAGCCCCTGAGAAGCTGCCCACAGACCTCTGATCTGTGCCGTTTAAGCATCCCAATTTAAACTCACTGGATCACCAAAAAGCAAAAATAAGGTATAAAAATAGAAGGAGGTCTAGTAAGGGAGAGGAAGGGAGAGGAAGGGTTCCACAGGAGTGAATAGTAATGACTGAATATGGTCGAAACATATCACGTATGTATGAAAAATGTCGAAATGAAACCCATTAATATATATAATTAATGTGAACTAATTAAAATGTTATTAAACCTATGCATATTTCAAGAAAATTCTCTTTCTCTCTCTCTCTCTCTCTCTTTCCCTCTCTCTTTCTGGTCTTGTCAGGTTAGGGAATGATGTTGTTGTCATTTGATTGGTTGGTTTGGTAGGTTCTTATTGATCTTTGTGAACGTATCCATTATTGCCTGTCCTAAGTATTTTTACCATTGCATTAACAATTAAGAATCTATTTTAGGCCATGGTGGCTCCATTTCTCCTCAAATTTTACATTTTGTAATTTACCCTGCTCAACTTGTTCCTTTTCATTATAACCTTCATTAGTGTTACCAATAATCACATGACAGAGTCTATAATAGGCTGTTTAGAGATTTCCTCTGCAAACGAAATTAATCCAAAACTCTTTAGCCTCTGGCAGACTCTTCAGACAAGGGCAAAAGGCATCCACAGTTTTCACCAAAATATCACAAGAACAATCTCTAGGCCACATACTAATATTCTTCTCCTCTGAAACCTCTTGAGTCAAACCCCTGCCCACACAGTTGAAATCCCACTCAGCACTGATGGAGGAAGGTCATTGGCTAATAAAGGAACTGCCTTGGCCCATTTTATTGGTTAGAGGATAGGTGGGAGGAGTCAACAGAACAGAACGCTGGGAGGAAGAGGAAGTGAGCTGAGACTCCACAGCTCTGCTCTCCGGAGCAGATGCCTCAGCGGAGATGCCATGCCCTGCTCCCTGGCAGACACACGGGATGAAGCTCCGACCCAGGATGGACTAGGCTAGAATCTTCCCGGTAAGACCGGTGCTCACAGATTATTAGAGATGGGTTGATCGGGATGTGAGAATTAGCCTGTAAGGGCTAGGGCTAAAGGGCCAAGCAGTGATTAAAAGAATACAGTGTCTGTGTAATTATTTCGGGGCATAAGCTAGCCGGGCAGGCGGCTGGGGTGTTGGGGACGCAGCCCCTCCGCCGCCCTTATTACTTCACAGCACCACTGTCTTCCATGCTCCTACTACGGTGGCCCATTAAGCAGCACTTAACGCATTCAACATCTTTTCTCATCCATGGTCCCAAGGTCCATATTCCTTCAAACAAAAGCAAAGTCAGGCCTATCATAGCAGTGCCCTAGTCCCTGGTACCGGCTTCTATCTTAGGGGTTTGTTTTGTTTTGCTATGAAGAGACACGGCGACCATGGCAACTCTTTAAAAGAAAATGTTTAACTGTGAAGGCTCGCTTACAGTTCAGAAGTTCAGAGGTTTAGTACATTATTGTCATGGTGAGAAGCAAGGCAGTGTGCAGGCAGACACAGTGCTAGAGAAGGAGCTGAGAGTTTCTTACATCACAGGCAACAGGAAGTGGTGTGAGACACTGGGTGTGGCTTGAGTATACAGATACCTCAAAGCCTGCCTCCACAGTGACACACTTCATCTAACAAGACCATTCCTACTCCAACAAAGCCACACCTCCTAATAGTACCACTCCCTTACAGGGCCATTTTCTTCCAAACCACCACAAGGGTCTTTTTTTTTTTTTAATTACTCTTTTCAAAATGTATTTATTCTTCCACAATTTGACATACAAAGAAATGATATATAAATGTACTTTGATCAACTGCCCTCCATTCTTATTCTCATGCATTTCTCTCTCCCATCCCTCTGAAGAGGGTTGCCTTTGCGGGGGAAGTATGGCTGATCTATTCTCGTTTGTTAATTTAGCTGAATTAATCGTATTTAAAGATGAGAATGCTTTCACCAAACCAACCTGTCCTGTGTCTCATCCCAGTCTCTAGAGAAAGATTTAAAACTGACCTCCAAGGTCTGAGGAATTGATATGAATTACAGCGTTATGAGACAGATTCAATGGCCCAACTCTGCACAAACCCAGAAGAGGGATAGCTACTAACGCCAGCTGTCCAGATAGAACTTTAGGCCCAGTAACAACCTTAAGCTCTCGCTACAGCACAGCTATCATACTGCACCAATCAAGCAGAAGATGCCTCATGCCCCGTGAGGTCTCCTCTTGTTGAGCCATGTGGCGTTTGAGATTCCAAGTGTGTGGGATGTAACCATAATTTATCTCGATGTGGGAGGCCATTTAGCTTTAACATCTCTGCCCTAGTGACTGCTAACTCTTTCCAGGATACTGACAAAATGTACTCACGGGTATAGAAGGTGGCGCATACTCAACAGTCTCCTAAGAGTCTCCTAAGACTCTTCCAGTAGAACGTTGCTAAGCCTGAAAGCTCACGAATTGGTGGCAGGTCCTGGAACAGGCTTCTTGGAGACCTGTATAAGGCATGGTAACAACTGTAACACAGAAATTCAGTCGGGAAACTTGAACTTAACAGCTAGCAAATATGTATTTTAAGCAATGTCTCTCAAAATGTGGTCCCCAGACCAGCAGCAGAATGTCACCCGAGAACATGTTAGAAATGCAAATTATAGCCTCTGTCCTCCGCATCCCCCACCACACGTTGAGTCAGAAATGCCCAGGGCCCAGTGTTGTGGTTTGAGTAAACATGGCCCCCCACCATAGGCTCGTTTATTTGAATGCTTGTCACCAGGGAGTGGAACTGTTGGAAAAAAGGTTTAGAAAGATTAGGTGTGGCCTTGTTAAAGAAGTGTGTCACTGGGAGTGGGCTTTGAGATTTCAAAAGCCCACACCGGGCCTCATTCTCTCTCTCTCTCTCCCTCTCCTCCTTTTCCCTCACCTACAGGTCAAGATGAAGCTCTTAGCTCCTTCTTTGAGCACTATGCCTGCCATCACCAGGCTCCCCACCATGATGATAATGGGATAAACCTCTGGAACTGTAAACAAGTCCCCAGTTAAATGCTTTCTTCTATAAGAGTTCCCTTGACCATCAGGTCTCTTCACAGCCATACAACAGTGACTGAGACCAGCAATCTATAGTTAACAGGATTTCAAGGTAATCCTTAACGTTAAGGGATCCACGATCTGAGGCACCCCAAAAAGATCATGCTTGTCATTATTACAGAGGAGTAGCCCAAAATCAAGCAATCTTGCAGATGACACCCTAAAACATTGTAAGAGCATAGCAAGCTAATAAATTACTTGAATTCACTCTACTGTTCTTTGTAAGATCTGGGTATCGCGATGGGACCACTTAGTGGTGTGTAAGTAACTGGTCAGATTCTGAGTCAGATCTAGACAGACGGCAGAGGTACCGCACAGTCCGGAAAAGGACGTACAAAGGCTCCATGCACAGTCTGGAAAGGCAAGCGCAAAGGCTCCAGGACACCAGCTGCTCTTCATCATCCATGGTTGGACCGAACGCTCTGATGCCCCACCCCATACCATGGCACATTAAAACCATGCCCATCCGCTTCCAGGACAATCCCACCCTGCTTGTAAATTATTCTTTCACCCCCAAATATGGCACACATTTTAAAATACATCATTGCGGTTTCTAAGTCCGTGTCTCTTGCAAATGCGAGTCCAGTTAATGGCATTCTCAGCTGTGGCCTTCCTTGTGGCGGAAAACGATTGGCTGCCAGGAGTATATTCTCGGCAAGAGCTACCAGAAGTCTCCTCTCCTCCCTCCTTATGTAGTAACTTCCAGAAGCACCCAGACGACTTCAGCAGGACAGAAAATCTGGTCCCTTGATATCCCATCAATAAAAATCAAAACTGGGCACAGTGGATCATGCCTATGATCCCAGCACGCAAGATTCAGGAGGATGAAGACATAAAGATTAAACTAACTAACCAAAAGAGATTATACTCTCCAAGGTAAAGATTGTTAGTAAGTAAAGGAGAAAAGATGATACACGTGGCAGAGAAATATAAGACTTGCGATCCAGCTTTAGAACCAATTTTAGAACCTTAGACTTAGCTACAAAGTAACTCCCTTTCTAGGCTAAAATGAAGGGTTGTAGGCTCAACAACTCTGATAACCATGAACTCAGACCACAGTGAAAGGAAAGGTTTTTGTCTTTGTTGCCCTGTGGGTCTCAAGGTTTTTGTCTTTGCTGCCTCGTGCGTCTCTTCCCCACTCTGGGCCACCTTTTCCTCACCAGCACACCCAACCCGGCAGTTACTCCTCCTCGGCAATGTCCCACGCATCACCTTGACCCAGATATCTAAGGCCGAGGGAAAACAGCGCTGTCAGATTTCATAAATGTGCGGGACGACTCCCACTGAAAGAGACATTCTGTCACCAGGGAAGCAGGGCTTGTCAAGAAACATCGCATTAACATCGGGAAGGGTTCACGTTTCGGGTTAGAAGGCTTTATTTTTAGAGATAAGTTTCCTATTTCATACTTTGCAGAAAAAAGTACGATGTAATAAATGGTCCTTCGTTTTGAAAACCAGAACTAGTATGCTGCTACCATGGAACCATTAAAACGCATGTTTATCAAAATCAAGACAATTCCTATTCAAGAAACTTTAAGCTTTGGACTATATTCTGCTTATTCTAGAAATTGATATCATTTCTTATTTTGCCCTGTGAAACATTTCATCCTTCCAACGTGTCCAAAGTGAGCTAATTTGCACCTGCTCTCCACATAGTCCCCAGGGCCTCAGAGGCACTGCCTTCCTCTGCTCTGCTTCAGGGAGTGCAGCCCCCACCCACTCCTCCACCCCAACTCCAGCCCCGCTCTCTTCCGCTCTCTTCCGTTCTCTCCTTTCCTCTATTCGTTCCTTCCTAGCAACAAAGTGCTGGGGAAAAAAAAACAAGTGAAGGATGAAAATATTTACAGGGTGAGAACTTCCCTCCAGCTTCCACTTGCAGGAAAGTGTGAGGGGTCAGGAGTATGATTTATGGAGCTTTGTACCCCCCCCCCTTGCCAGGTACAGAAGGCCCCTTGATTTTGTGATTCTTTCCCATCTTGGTGGTCAAGCGAACCGCGAGGGGGTCACTTCTATGCTGCCCCAGGACAAAGAACTTGATTAGTACATGAGGACACAAGAGAGAACAGCAGGACCCCAGGAGCCCTGCCAGGAAAAGCAGAGCGTGGAGTCAACAAGAGCAACACAACCGCCTGGGCCTCCCTCCTTCTGAGAATCACACCTACTCTGTGTTTACAGGGAGCCGGTGAAGGCTGTGGGAGCGCCATCCTGTTAGTCCACCTGTCCCGCCAGGGAGGGATGTTTCCCCCCCAGGCCTCCAACCCTGCAGGTGGGGCAGCAGGTGAAGCCCCTGGTAAGTTTCCATCAGACAATAGGAGGCCCTCCCCTCAGCCACCCAAGCAGTGCTCAGAGCAATGTGTCAAAAACACAAGAGCGTTACAAGTCTGGGGTAGCAGACAAACTTGATAAAGCAGATAAAACCTGAAGGAGCAGCCCACACAACGAGAGCAAAGTAATGAACTAATAACACAGAAGGACAGCGGAAGAGAGAGCTCAGTCAGTAAAGTGAAGATGTCCCAAACCCACACTTGAAACACTCAACTTGCTGTTAATCACATGCTAAGGAGGCAGAGCTAGGCAGATCTCAGGGCCTGCCGACCAGCCAGCCAGCCGGTCACTCCAGTGAGAACAGTGCCAGATGGAGACCTGTGGCCTGCACAGGTATGCAGACACAAACAGCCCCACTCACACATCCACGCACATACATGTGTGGTTGCATACATGTACGGTGCATACGCGTATGTGTATGCTTGGGGGGGGTGTGCACATGTACATACACGCACACACACACACACAGAGAGAGAGAGAGAGAGAGAGAGAGAGAGAGAGAGAGAAAGAGAGAGATCTAAGAGGAAAGTAAAGGAAGCTTGTAAAGCCAAGAACTATGACAGAAGAGAAAACCCGCATACAGGTTCTCGTAGGCTCATGCTTATAAGAGGTGGTATTGATAAGCATCATGTTACCCAAAACAAGCCCATCCTGTAAAATATAACTATATTTTCTCTCATATGTGCAAATGGGGGCAGGGAGAGGACAAGTTAAAACGGGATGTTTCAGTGAGGGCTTCTTGTGCTGTGCTAAAAGACCATGGCCAAAGCGAGTGGAGAGGAAAGGGCTCATTTCCCTAGCCTTCCACAACAGTCTCTCCTCAGAGGAAGTGGAGGCAGGGACTCAGGGCCGGAACCTGGCGATGGGAACTGAAGCAAAAGCCATGGAGGAGCTCTGCTTCCCGGCTTCTCTAAAAGCCTCCTCAGCCTGCTTTCTTATCCACCCGACTGCCAGCCCAGGGGTGGCACGGTGAGCTGCCCCTCTGACAATCAATCATCAGCCAAGAAAACACTCCCCAGGCTAGCCCACGGGACAGCTCTGGTGCGGGCATTTTCTCAAGTGAGATTCCCTCTCCTACAATGACTCTAGCTTATGTTAACTTGACACAAAGCCATAGCCCAGACACACTGGGGATGTGGAAAGGGGTCAGTTAGACAAGAAAATGTCCTAGCAGAGGTGAATGGGATAAAATATATATATGATATGCATGTAGTGGGGTGTCATAATGAAACCCAGGGCTCTGTTCAATGTGTTCTGAGATCACACTCACACACTCACATATTCATGCACACATTCACACACACTCACATTTATACTCACACCCAACAGACACACTTACATACACTCACACACAACACACGCACATTTACATACACTCACACACAACCCACACACATTTACATACACTCACACACAACCCACACACATTTACACACACTCAACACACGCACATTTACACACACTCACACTCAACACACGCACATTTACATATACTCACACACAACCCACGCACATTTACATACACTCACACTCAACACACACATTTACATACACTCACACACATTTACATACACTCACACTCAACACACACATTTACATACACTCACACTCAACACACACATTTACATACACTCACACACAACACACACACACTTACGTACACTCACACACAACACACGCACATTTACATACACTCACACACTTACACACACATTTACATACACTCACACACTTACACACACATTTACATGCACTCACACACTTATACACACATTTACATATACTCACACACTTACACACACATTTACATACACTCACACACTTACACACACATTTACATACACTCACACACAACACACACATTTACATGCACTCACACACTTACACACACATTTACATACACTCACACACAACACACACATTTACATACACTCACACACAACACACACATTTACATACACACACAACACACGCACATTTACATACACTCACACCCAACACACACATTTACATACACTCACACACAACACACACATTTACATACACTCACACACAACACGCACATTTACACAACACACACACAACACACGCACATTTACATACACTCACACACAACACACACACATTTACACAACACACACACACAACACACGCACATTTACATACACTCACACACAACACACACATTTACATACACTCACACACTTACACATTTACATACGCTCACACACAACCCACACACATTTACATACACTCACACACAACCCACGCACACTTACATACACTCACACACAACGCACACACATTTACATACACTCACACACAACCCACACACATTTACATACACTCACACACAACACACACATTTACATACACTCACACACAACACACACATTTACACAACACACACACAACACACGCACATTTACATACACTCACACACAACACACACACATTTACACAACACACACACAACACACGCACATTTACATACACTCACACACAACACACTCACATTTACACAACACACACACAACACACGCACATTTACACAACACACACACAACACACTCACACACAACACACACACAGGTTTGACCATTATCCAGGAAGCAGAACAGACTGAGTACAAGTGGATAAAATGCTATGCCAAAAATAAAAATAGAAATCATAAAAGCTTGTCTAAAACTTTACAGGCACTTTCACACTTTGTAAGTCTGTGACACGCATCAAATAAAGTATCTGGACCAGGGCTGGAGAGATGGCTCAGCAGTAAGAGCACTGGCTGCTCTTCCAGAGAACCTGGTTCAATTTTCAGCACCCACGGGGCTGCCCACAATAATCTGTAACTCCAGGGCCAGGGGGTCAGCGCCCTCTTCCAGTACCAGGCTCTCTCATACATACATGCAGGCAAAACACCCGTACACACACAAAAATAAAATAAATGAATTAAATTAAGAAGATATCTGGACCAAATGAGGAGAAGGTTCTGGTTGTTTCCTTTCTGTGGAAATAACTGAATGAAGGCTCCCCACTCTCAGTTATAAATGGCATGCAGTTCAATCCAAAAAGCCCGCACAGTTAACGGAAGGAGTCTGGCTCCTCCGGCAGCTTATACCCACAGAAACCAAAAGCGACCCTCTGCCCACAGGCAGCCATCACACTGTGAGGTGTAAACTCCCCGGACAAGCATTTTAAACCCGTTTTGGTGTCTGCTCCAGAAAAGTCCTTTACAGTGTGCTTCGTTACTGGAGGACGAAGGACAGGCACAGAAGGACTCTTGGATGTAGCTCACTTACTCGAAAGAACGGGTGCATCCCGTGACGGCGTTGGAACCCTTCATTATATTGTGAACGGGCACCCGAGTGTTTTCATATAACCACGCTCACCCACCAGGGCTGCTAACTCAAACACCGCTGTGCTGTGCCCATCACACTAGAACAAAAAGCTGCCTCTTTCACTGGAGATGATAACTGAAATCAAATATTTTCTGAGTAAATATTTTTGGTTTGCTAAGTCACACAGTCAGCTTTCATATTATGCATCAAAACAGAAAGCCTTTTCCAAGTCTAAAAAAAATCACAGCTATTTTGTAAACAAAACATTAAGCAAACATGAACTTGAGCATCTCTGAAGGTCAGACCCGAGACTCATCTTTGATGATTGATTCTAAATCCACTCATTATAATTAATAAAAGTAGTGCCAATATGTGACTGGAATTTCTTACATAATAGGTAATTCTAGATTATTCAATTTACTTTTTGATTATTTGTTGTAAGCAACTTCCACCCAAGATAATTAAAGAGCAAGAAGAAAAAAACAAAAAGACAAACACTGTCCAAGCCAACCACATCAACAGGTCTGGCAAAGTTTTGGCATGTCTGTCTCTGGCAGCAGCTCCATGGCTTCTCCCTGACTCTGCCTCCTTTCTCCCAGCATTCAGTTTAGTTTTCCCCACCTAGCTGTGCTCTACCCTATTACAGACCCCAAATAGCTTCTTTATTAACCGGTAGTATTCACAGCATACAGAGGGGAATCCCACATCAAGGAATGTATTAGGGATATCAAATTGGGTTGGAGAGGGACACACTGGAATTTTATTCAACTGCAAAGAAGAATGATGTTGTAACATTTGCAGGAAAACCGAAATCATTGTGCTAAGTGACATAAGCCTAACTCAGAAAGAAACCATTTTCTCTCATACGTAGAATCTAGATTTAAATGTGTGTGTGTGTGTGTGTGTGTAGGACAGGAAAGCACAAGGGGAGCTATAAGACAGAAGAGCTCTAAAGGGGGCAGGATGATAGGACATAGACAATACGAGAGTAGAAGAGAGTGTGGGGGTGAGGGAGGAAGGAGCCATCATGATAGGGAGGGTGATGAGTGAGGACGAATAAGATTAAAATCGAATCAACTCTATGAAGATGTTCACAGTGAAATGTGTATGATCTCACATGAGAAAACATCCAGTTAGCAGACATCTTCAGCAAACTGACATAAACCAGCCACAGATTATTTAGCTTCCTGAACCCCGCCCCCTCTGCCTTGTAGAGGGTTTTTTCTTGGTGTGTCTGTTGCATGTGTGTTTTTCCTCATCCCCTCTAATCTTTCTGATTACAAAAAAAAAAAAGATAAGTATATAAAATTTCAGTCACATAGGTCACCCAATAATATTAGATTAAAAAAGAAAATACTGAAGGAAGAAACTGATGAAGGCATTAGAAAGCTAAAAGGCTGGGCTGACAGAACCAGTCAGTACTGTGAAAACAGCTACATTATTTAAAGCCACGTTCAGATTCAATGCAATCACCAGTAAGTCTCCAATGATAGTCTTCACAGGAATAGAAAAATTCATCCTAAAATTCATATGAAATCACCAAAGACCCCAAACAGCTGAAGCCATCCTAAGTAGAAGAAGGAGGACTGTTAGAGAAACCAGTATTGCAATACACTACAGAGCCACGGTGACATGTCAGCATGACCCTGGCACAGAACACACCCCAAGATCGGTGGAATCGCGTAGACGACCTGGATACACCCTTACTGAGTCACACACCCCAAGATCAGTGGAATCGCATAGGTGACCTGGCTATACCCTCACTGAGCCACACACCCTGAGATCAGTAGAATCGCATAGATGACCTGGATACACTGAGCCACAGTCGCCTGATTCTTTCCTCTTCCACAAAGAGAACTGGGAAGATCACACAGTCACATGCAGAATAGAAACTGGATCCCTGACTCTTAACCCTGCAACACAGACCGAAGATCTTCATTTAAGGCCTGAAGCAGCCCAGAAAATGTCAGCGAGAGTTGACAAACAGAAATGCCCGAGATTAGCTGGTGCTTTCTCACCTTCCAGTTCTCATGCAAGAATCACTCCTTCAGAACATGGCCCCCCGTTCCGAAATATGGGCTCCGCTGTATGGTGCTAAGTTACTCTCTATTCCGTCCCATCGTTCTGTAACTACACATTTACTGTGTTTCCTCGTACGGTGCTATCTTTTCTCCTAAGTGACAAACTTCAGTGCTAACTAAGCCACCCATTTGTCTGAACTCCATATCAAGGACCTAGTACCATGCCTCCAAAGCAGAATACATTTAACAAATATCTTTGAATGAATAAGACGTGGGATGGAAACTGGGCATAGAGGCGCATACTTTTAATCCCAGCACTCAGGAAGCAGAGGCAGGTGGATCTCTGAGTTCAAAGCCAGCCTAGTCTACAAAGTAAGTTCCAGGATATATAGAGCTACATAGTGAGATGCCATCTTCAAAAGCACCAAAAACAAAACAAAAAAAAAAAAAGTAATGAGGTGTAGGAATTCTCCAAAAATACCCATTACTGAAGATGGTCCCTGCTCTAGTTTATCTATAAGATGAAGTAACCAAGAGCTTTGAAATTGATGATGGTGAAGTACCTCTTCAGACCCTACTGGTATGCCAACAGGAGATGGTAACAATAAAAAGACACTCTTACCTCTTGTTCAGAAGGTCATTGTGAAGAAGAAACTCTGGACACCTTGTGATCTTGAAGCTCCTCTCTGTGCTGGGAGGCCAGCGCTCTTCTAGTAGTTGATAGGGCCTCAGACACCATAGCCTGTCCATTCTTGATCAGCAGCAGACAGACTGAGGAAACAGGGCGCCCAGTGTCATTAGCAACATGTCCACAATAATCACTACACACTAGTTTCAGCACTTGCTCAGGTTAGTTTTGTGGATGAAAAAGCTAAAACATTTTGTATAAGCAGAGATTGAACTCTGTGTCAGAATACCAGGCCTGTCGCCACCCAGAGTGTTGCTTGTGGCACAAGTGATCTTAGTCCCTCTCGTTTGCCAATCCCAACTTCCCCATCTGCAGAACTGTAATGTCACTTGGCTATAGCTGCTCTCAGGGCTTATGAGTCTCAGAGGCATCTGGGTGACCAACCTCTGCTAATTCGGCAGCCCTAAGATAGAAAATGGCGTGGCTGGACTGTGCCAGCCAGAGAAGGAAGAAGAGGGCAGAAGAGGGCGCACCAATGCCTAGTCGTACCATACTTCCTCAGCCTCTGTGGTACTATATAACCCCAAGGCTGGTGAGGTGCCCCTTGGCAAAGATCTGATCATGAAGAACCATCTGGGTTTGGAGGCAGGTGAGCAGGGAAACTCCACAAGTCCCCAAATGGCCCTTGTTCCCTCAGACCCAACCACACACCCAATAACACTGAAGCCCTGGGCCAGGAGGGGGATCTGTGGACTTCTGCACTGCCCCTGTCGTTGGAGAACACTCTAACCCCTACCGTGTGTCTCAACAGGGCTCTCTTCTGTCTACATCCTTTAGATAACTACACATCTGAGCCTGGCTTCTTCGCCAATAGAACCTTCAGTTGATTATGAGCACAGCAGCAGCATAGGTTCAAGTGTGTTTGAAGAAACAGAATTATTTCACAGATAGGCGTTATCATCAACTGTCCTTATAGCTGAATTCTGAGTTTTACGTCTTTTCTGGAAGAAAAGTTCCACTAGATGCAAAGCCAGGTGTTACTCCTGCCTGCTTTTGTCTAGAGATGCCATGTTCTCTGAGAATGTGTCCAGTCTCCAAACAAGAAATTCGACAGCAGGGACATTTTCTCTCAATACAGCTACGAGTGTGAAGTGTGTAGTGTCTGCCAGTACAGAGATGGCACCCACTAAATATTGGAACCTGGAATTAGGGACCCAGAATTTAAAAGAAGTAAATTAATTCTAAAACTCTGTATCCACAAGAAATATCCTATGATGAAAACAATATAAAATTATTTCAAACTGGCTCAAACAGCAGTGAAATTCTTTGGCTATTGCGGCAGAAAAGTCTCTGGGTAATGTGCATCGCTCCTAAAGGCCCTCCTGCTTCCCCTGCAGTTATCTTGGCTGGTGCTATCTGACCCTCTCTTCACTAGGCAGGACTATTACAAGGGAGTAAGGAAGATCAAATCCACCAGAGGCCTGGGGTTCACACCACTGTTCTCCTCTCCCCTGGCGTTAGCAGCCAGTGTGGAGTGATTGTCTAAAACACCCCATAAATAGAAACCAGTAGCAAACACAGTCTAGGTTTTGACAGTTCATCTCACAGCTTGGCTGCACTTGGATGTTTCATGCATCCTCTGTTCCGCATAAGTTCTTTTTTTTTTATTTATTTATTATGTATACAATATTCTGTCTGTGTGTATGTCTGCAGGCCAGAAGAGGGCACCAGACCTCATTACAGATGGTTGTGAGCCACCATGTGGTTGCTGGGAATTGAACTCAGGACCTTTGGAAGATCAGGCAATGCTCTTTACCACTGAGCCATCTCTCCAGCCCCCCGCATAATTTCTTGATGCCCCATTTTAGAATCTGTCAGATCAAGATAATCACATTGTCCTTGTAACTCATGGGGCTAAAGAAAGGATAAACAGGCAGTAGACGAGAAAGTACTGAACATTACATTGATAGCGCTTACGTGCTAACACTTCTGAGTTTTAACTTCATCCCCGCTGTGTCTGTGGAAGCACTTCCGGGTGTAAGGATCATTTGTCAAAATAGTCATCTAGGGTCAACAGTCCTGGATGGATCAGATCTGTGCTTTCCCTGAAGCTACGGTGCCGCCTGGCATCCAACAGGCTGCGTGGTTATGAGGCATCCGTGAGACAGACAAGGGCTTGACAAAAGGCAGAAAAGAAAAAGTGACATTGAAAACACACCAGGCACAGTGTCACACCCCTGTGGTTCTAGCACTCAGAAGGCTGAGGCAGGAGACTGCCAGAGTTCAAGGCTAACCTGGGCTACATAGGCAGATCCTATCATAAACAAATGACAGTGGGTCTCGTGTTTGCCACTCCCACGTCTTCAGGAACTTTTATTTATGTTAAAGGTTAACTCAAGTTGGCCAACATGCCTGCCACACATCTGCAGTCCCCGCACTGGAAACGTGGAGGCAGAAAAAGAGTTCAGGATTGTCCTCAGCTACATAGTACATTTGAGGCCAGCTCTGCAAATGATTGAAAGAAAGAAAAATATAAATCAAAACAAATTAACTTATTCAATGTCTAAGGCAATGTGTTTTTTTCTTTAAGGATTTGGGGCCCAGATTCTTCACCCCCTTATAGCAGTGGCTCTCAACCTTCCTCCTGCTGCAACCCTTAAATTCAGTTTCTCATGCTGTGGTGACCCCCAACCATAAAATGAGTTTCATTGCTACTTCGTAACTGTAATATTGCTACTGTTATGAACCATAATGTAAATATCTGTTTTCTGATGGTCTTAGGTGACCCCTGTGAAAGGGTGGTTTGACCCCCAAAGGGAGTCATGACCCACGTATTGAGCACCACTGTCTTATAAGGAGGCAAAAGCAAACACCAAAATTAACTGCAAAAGAAAAGTTGAGCCTGTGCTCACCTGTAGTCACAGTCACTTGGGAAGCTCAGACAGGGGAAAGTTTGTACCCGGGAGTTTCAGACCACCTCAAGTAACACAGTGAGACTCTGTCCCTCAAAATATCTGGGATTAAAGTTAAATATAAACTAAATGAAAGCTAAAAGTCTAACTTCACCAGCAAAAGGCTGAAGGAGGTCGGTGAAAAACAAGCATGCACCAGCAAAAGTCCCCATCTGTCAAATGCAGTAACCCGTGAAGACCTGGCTGCAGCTCCGTCAGGGACACCCAGTTACCAGCGGGTCCAGGCAAACGTCGCTGAGAGTGGAAGTGAGCATCCCCACTCCACACCGCTCAAAACAAATTTTCAGACAGAGGAAATTTTGTCCCTCCAGAGAAAAACAGGAACGGATCAGAACTCTCTGCAGTTTTGTAAAGACATTAGGACATCGGAAGCCCTTTTAATCATAAGCTAACACACCAGGGTGACCTAAGGCAGCCCTTAGTGAACCATGCCACACTCGAAGGCCTCCACTGAATGTAGTGGGCTGTTTCTGCATCTTTGTGTCTAGAATGGGATCACCGTGTCCTTGAGAGAACTGAGAAAAGTCATCTGTTCCCAGTGAGGGAGATTAAGACTCCAGAGCAGGGCTGGAGAGATGGCTCAGTGGTTAAGAGCATTGCCTGCTCTTCCAAAGGTCCTGAGTTCAGTTCCCAGCAACCACATGGTGGCTCACAACCATCTGTAATGGGGTCTGGTGCCCTCTTCTGGCCTGCAGACAGACAGAACATTGTATACATAATAAATAAATATTTTAAAAAAAAAAAAAGACTCCAGAGCAGTTCATCTCACAGGGGACCCCGACTCCTCAAAAACCACAACAATGTCCCACTCCAGCAGACGTGAAGGAGGGATCTGCTTCCATAGGTTTGGGTCATTTGGTTTTCCTTTTTCTTTCTTTTTGCATATTGTCATTATATACCGTGATGGGTTTCATAGAGACAATTTCCTGGAAGTATATGCACGTGCTTTGATAGTATCCCACCCCAAACCATCCTCTCCTCCCCATTCCATTTGCCCTTCCATGATGTTCCCAGTCTCCCTTTGGTGTCCATGTTGCATTTGCACATAGTACACACAGACACAAGTACACACACATACACATATACGTACACACATGCATACACACACTCACACACACATGCACATATACGTACACACATGCATACACACACATGCACATATACGTACACACATGCATACACACACATGCACATATACGTACACACATCATACACACACTCTCACACACACATGCACATATACGTACACACATGCATACACACATGCACATATATGTACACACATGCATACACACACTCACACACATGCATACACAATGCACATATATGTACACACATGCATACACACACATGCACATATACGTACACACATGCATACACACACTCACATACACACATGAATGCATGCACACACAGAGACACAAGTACACACACACATGCACATATACGTACACACATGCATACACACACATGCACATATACGTACACACATGCATACACACACTCACACACACATGAATGCATGCATGCACACACATGCACACGTGAGTATGCGTGTGTGTTTCTGTCTTTATGTACAATCTAGAACCCACAAATGAGAAAGCGTGCAGTGTTCTCTGCACCTGGCTCATCTGGACGCCCCCTGGCTGCACTCATTTCCCAGGAGAGGACTTAACCTTGCTCTTCTCTGTGACTGAATAAAATCCCACACACCACACTTTCTTTAAACTCAGAATTACCATAGGCACACACAACTTTGTTTTGGTGTTTTCATTTTGCTTTTATTGAGTCTTTGTTTGCAACTTGTTCAAAAATGGTTTAGCTTCTATAATGCCTGAAATAATGATTATCAGCCAAAAAAATCATTATGCTGTGTATTTGAGTATTATTATTCTGAAGCTATTTTCATGTATGGTGAGATACATCAAGTTAGTAATCCAAGCGGCGTCATTGAGAATTGAGATTGCAGAAATGTTTGAAAAAGCAATAAAGATATAAAACCAGTGAGTTTTAAAACTCCGCAGTTATGAACTAGAATTGAAAATACCCATTAAAAATCATTTATAGGGGAAAAATTATTCCTAGTTCTATCCACTAAAGAGGCCTGATAATGAATATCCCAGAATATAACCACACTCTAGCACCCAAATTACATATGTGTCTGTGTATATCTGTGTGCGTCTGTATGCATGTGTGTATGTGTGTCTGTGTTTCTGGATGTGGATGAGTGTGTGTGTGTGTGTGTTACTGGAGATTGAATTTAGGACTTTGCACTTTCCAGACAATCGGTCTATCTTTGTGCTATTTTCTCAACCGTTTGGTTTTCCATTTTGAGAAAATGTACTGAGCTACCCAGGCTGGCCTTGAACTTGCAGTCCTATCCCTCCACCTTAGTTTCTTCAGTAGCCAAGATTACAGCCTGCATGCCTAGGCATTCTAACTCTCACTTTCCACTAATAGGAACTGGAGTTCCTTGGCGAACTGGCTACCTCACACTGTAGACGGACTTTCTTTCCTGCCGCCAGCCCTAAATAATGACGTGGAGACTTCTTATTAATTACGAAAGCTTGGCCTTTAACTTAGGCTTGTCTTATTTAATCTGTGTTCTAGCACATGGTATTACCTCTCTTTCATCTTGCACCTCCTTTTCCCTCTCCATCTGGAGACTCCGGGCATCTCTGCCCTTCTTCCCAGTATTCTCTCTGCCCTGAAAATCCTAGCTATGAGCCATTTAGCTTTTCAGTAAACCAGTCACAGTAACATATATTCACACAGTGTAAAGGAATATTCCACAACATCACACCCTAGACAGGAAAGCTCCAAGACTAGCATGGAACATTTTGTCACACCAGACAACAGGGAGAGTATGAAAAACTAGTCATGTCACGTCTGTGAACAAGCTAGGAAAATCTCCACAGGCCACAAATGGACCAACCTGAAAGAAACGCAAACATCCAATCTGTTGAAATCCGTGAGTTCATGATTATGGTTAAGATAGGCAAAAACAAATTCAGTCACCTTTGGCACATATAAGAGGGTCTACTTTTCTTTTTACTGTGGTAAAAACCATAACAGAAAACTGATTATCTGTCAGGTAGGTGGTAGTGGCCCACACTTTTAACTCCAGCAATTAGGAGGCAGAGACAGAGGGATCTCTATGAGTTCAAGGCCAGTCTGGGTCTACAGAGTTCCAGACTTTCAGGAATACACAAAAGAAAACCTGTTTGAAAAACCCAAACAAACCAACCCAACAACAAAGAAAGAAATTGTTCTGGAACTCACTATGTAGACAGACAGACCTCAAACTCACAGAGATCTGATGACTGTGCCTCCTGAGTGCTGGGATTAAAGCCTGTGCCATCAGGCCCAGCAACTACATACTTTTAAAAAGGCTAAAACCATGCTGGGAGTTTAGCATGGGGGACACAGCACATATTTGGTACATGGAAGGCCCAACGTTCAGTCCCAGGCTCTGCAAAAATATAACGTGGGAAAATTGAGTGTAATATTTGTACATTTTTTTAAAAAAAAAAAAATCAGTTTAGGAAAAAAAGAACCTGAATCTGACCAAACCTCCCTAGCTAATTCCCAAATTAATTGTATTTCACAAGGTAAAAAAAAAAAAAGTTTTTGTTTTGTTTCTTGTTTTGTTTCAGCCTAGTGCTGATGTTTTCCAGTGCACTTTTTCCCTGAATTCACTGAGTTTTACAATTTATAGTATTTCTATTGAAAATGTATCCTTTCCTGAAGTCTCGATTTCTTTGCTGATTTTTTCATCTATGCTACTTTCTCATCTCTATCCTTGACCTCTTCTCTGCATCTGAATTAATCCCTACCCCATTATCACTTTGACAAACTTTTGAATTCTTAGCTGGCATTCACCTCATTTCAGAATCTTTACGTGTGGTAGCTGAGGCATCCTGATATTTTGGAGGAGTCATGTTGATCTACATTTTTATGTTCCTTGTGCACTGGTGGGGAATGGTATCGCTTCAGACTTTTTTGAGGATTCTTCATAGAAAGAGTTTAACTGCGGGTTCAATTCCAAAACCACACAGAAAGGAGA